CTTGGTCGTGTAGACGCTATGCTATGCGGAGTACGGATATTCTGCCTCTATTTTCCTATGATGACACTTCTCTATTGCATCTTAAGGAGGTTCCCTGCCTCGAGAAGATCGCACTCAAAATCAAGTAAAAATAAAAAGATGGGGTAAATATCGACCAATTCTAACCGTCTAGTAGCTAAGAGTCGGGTCCATTGGAGTTGTGGACAGCGAGCGCCCCGGGTATAGTATCATAGTTGGGCGTGAGAAAGGCGCCCGGCGAGCCACTCGTTCACTGGCGAAGGTGCCGGGGGGCTGACGCCGTGATACTTGGAGTATGATAGTACTCTACCATGCAGACTACTGGGACGGTCAGCTTCCGCATACCGTGGAATATCACGTCCCCCCCGCCCCCAAAGTAGAGAATCGGACCACGCCAACATCAGTTAGAGCTATGCCGAGATATAAAAAGCGTGTCAGTGGCCGTAAGTATGGAGTCTTTCACACGATCTCATAACATTATTGCATTTTAGTCCTTTTCACGCCAGGAATTATTTATCCCCTATCTATATAGTGTTAGATGAGGGAGATGTGGAATATGTTGTGTATCTCCATTGACAGGGGAAGGTTGAGCTTATAAGCTCGGCTTCCAACTTTCACCAAGATTTTGAATGGTTGCATTTTGTGATAATCCAATTTCTTAGATGGCCTTGTGATCCTGATATTGTGTGGTAATAACCAGATCATATCTCCTGATTGTAGGTTCAGATCAGGTTTTCTGTGTTGATTGTAGTAGTTCTTATGTTGTAATTGGGCCAAGACCATTTCCAGCCCTAGGATTTCATGTAATTGACTCCTATTTTTGTTTTTCATTATCTCTTAAGGTAGTGTGTGGCCGATAGCCTGATATTCTGGATGTGATCCATAGTTCATGTAAAAGGGTGTCATCTTAATTGTTTCTTATTGTCCAATGTTGTAAGTGCATTCTGTTAGGCGGAGACAACCTAATAGAATGCAGAGTTGTCTAGGCCAACCAAGATTCGTTTCTGTAGACGGAGATTGTCTAGGAAGGCTCAAATTCCACTTGTTTCGTTTATGACTACTAAGAGCGAAGTAAAGTAGTTAAAGTAGAATAGAATCATGAAAACAATATTATATTATTAAGGTCACTTCTCCGTTGCTTGATGTGTAAAAGCTGGGAAGATACTTCGATATTTATATTCTGTGTCTGAGTGTTCACGGACTACATCTATCTATTATACAACTTTATACCTCTCTGATTATAACTCGAGACATCAGGTATCCTTTAAGGCGCAAACACCTGGAGACTTTGAAAATAACCATACCCTCTTTGGTAATTGCAATATAGCTACATGGGAATCATGCTGTTTCCAATAGCAATTATCCGATTGTCAGAGTCTTTAGACTTATGGCCTTATTTTCAAGTCAAACTGAGTTGGTCCCAATTGTCTCCATCATTGATGAAATAATCAGTTTTATCTGCAGGTTGTATCTGTGAATGTAGTTGTAATTGCAACCTTTCTAGATCGCCTGACTTTAAACCTTTATAACTCCCTACTCAACTAATAGATATTTTCTGAAGTACTTCCTACTAATTCGCAGGAAGCTATTGCACCGGATAGATGGGTAATCCCTCGATCTGTAACCCTTTGTTGCTCTGAGTAACTAGGGTTTCAATCTCAGTTCTAGAATTGGGAATTATTTCCGCAGCTACAACGTGTTGTGAAACCCAGTTTCAGTACTCTCTGAAGTCTATTGGCTTCAGTGCTAGTGTTTCTTAGAGTTCTAGACTCTTCTAGTTATCTTAAAGTGGATGCGAATATATTTGTTTCTTGTTGAGATCTTTTATCATTCGATACAATCTTTTCGTAAAACAATGTCCCATTAGGTATAGTGTATATCAAAGATGTTACATCTTTGAAGCCTAGCAACATCCTCGGTAGTTGGCGGATTTACTCTGTTCTACCTCCCAGACCTTGCTGAAGGTCCCTTTCTCTATATCCAATAGACAGGATCTGGTAGGACTCATGGTGGTGATGTGTAAAGTGTTATTCTTATACCTTCAATGCTGTGGTATTAAAGTCACAGGACGCTACTGAGGTTGATATGTAAGATGACTGGTGGGCCTCTTAAAGGGGCTGGAGGTGGGTATTGGAGACTAGAAATTCTGATTCCAAGAGGGATTACCCTACTTAGGGTGGTTCCTAGGTATTGAATCCTGGTATTCCTAATAAATTCTGCTATTGGTAGTAATTCGCTTCAGTTGTCCTGCTGATAGTTGACATATACACTTAAGTATTGCTCAATGATCCCATTTTATCATTCTGTTTGTCTGTCGTTTCGGGAATGGAAGGCTGTGCTTAGCCTTCTCTTGATTCCGAGTTTTGCCATAGTTTTCTTCCATATGCTTAAGGTGAAGAGAGTTCCTTGATATGTAATAATGCCTTTGGATAGTCCATGAAGTCTCAATATTTCCTTCAAGAAAGTGTGGGAAAATAGCTGTGCTGTCATATCCTTCCTGCATGGAATGAAGTGACTTATTTTGGTCAGATTCTCAACTATCATTAGGATAGCATCATAGTGGTCTGACTCCAGTAGATTGGTAATGAAATCTATCAATATGGACTCCCAAGGTGTAACGGGGGCTCCTTCTGAGAAGATAGATCCCAAGGTTGCGACCGCACTGAAATGAATTCTTCTGCAAAGTGAACAAATATAATAAATGTCAAAAGTCTCAACAGTAGAGTTTGAAGAAACAAAACAGTAAAACTTAATATCATTAAGCTACAGCTTTTACTCAATTAAGTCCTGATCTCGAGAGGTAGTTGATTGCCAGAGTAGAGGAGAACTCGCATATACTTAAGTAGATTTCATATACTGCCAGTTGCTTCCTATTACTACTCTATATTCGTGAGTATCCAACTCCCTTGAGCTACCTAGCTAACCTCCACAGGTTGGACCAAAGATACCTCGTAGTAAACAAGACTACTCTTGTGGTTTGCTAACACCCATCTGATAGAAGTATTTTAGCTGCTACATCTACAATGCAACTACAGGAGTAAAAACTCTTCATATTGGGGACATGTCGGTGGCGAGCTGTCATGCCTGAGTAGATGCGATACCAACTATAGAACTCTCTACCCATATACACTTAGTCTTCTACAAGCATCTGCAGCCCCTGAACATCTATCCGGCTCTACTCTATTCCATATTATTCAGGATAATGGCCACGTAGCTCCCCTGATAGACCTCTTCGGATGTTGACTACCAATAGGTGCTACCAACAGTCAACCCTCCTAGAAACATGTCTTATTATAACCTTAGACTAGTGTCTCAGAGTCCCTAACGATTCTCCCATACTATTACACTTTCGGGGCAATGGACTTCGGTTACCTCACCTACTAGCCTTCGGTAACCTCACATACTATCTTAGACTTCAAAGTAGTATTACTCTGTCAGTTCTGGTCCATTTTACATGAAACACCTGGAGACCATTCTCCAAGTTCACTTTTTATTTTTTTATTTTTATAATCTTATTTATTTATCCGTTTTAACGAAAGTAAGGCCAGGGATCATATCAGCTTTCGGCATGCAGACCCGCACCTCCACACTGCCTTGTTCTCAAGCAGCCAGAAGAAAAACCGTGACCCCAGAATGGCACACGCCAGCAGCCAGGTGCCCGCCCCTAAGAGCCCACGACTTGAATGTGGAGGGGTCTCGCCTAGAGCCACCAACACCCAACCAGTCCTCGGTTTAAAAAACTCCTCCGCAAGTCTCCCACACGGCTATTTACAAATGGTAAAGACGGAAAGCCCAGAAACCCATCCTTCAAAGCAAGGAAAACCCCTATCCCGACAGTACACCCCCTACCGATAAGAGAAAAACCCAAACCAGAGTAACCCCAAACCAAAGGCCGAAGCCAGTCGCTCGCCTACAACAACTAGATACCAACCCAACCCGTGCCTCTCGCTTGGGACAAACCAATAGCCAGGCCTCGCCTGTGAAGTCAAAAAAATGAATAGGTGTGCCATATAGGTGACATAAACGTATGTCTTAGGCATATAGCCCACGGTCGCAAGCAGGAGAAACCGAAAGGAAAGAGCGCCCACTGTAAGCAGGAGGTATTGGCAGAACAAGAGCCCAAAGCTGTCCGTCCGGGAGGGCCGAAGGGGCTGCCAAAAGCAGCAAAAGAGGGAGAGGTAGTAAGGTACCAGCCGACAGTAGTAGGGTACTAGCCGACGCGACTGAAGAGAAAAAAGGGAGGAAGGGCCCAAGGCCCCAGGGCTGACCCAACCGAAACCAAACCTGCCGTATTACCGCGTCTCTCATGTAGTCCCTTGTTCTCCGAGAGATAGCGTCACTTAGTGGAAGGGATCCCGCCGGCAGTAGGTAGGTGGAAGGGTAAGGTGAGGAAGGCAACCAAACTAGAACCGAGCGACTAGGAGGGTATGGTCAAATGTCATCTCGAGACAGACCTCGAAGTTATTAGCCGAGATGTTCCCCAACGGAGATCGTGCAAGTGGTGAGAAGGGCGTCCACTACTGCCAGTGCCGTCCGGAAGCGAAGAGAGGAAGCAGACCGTGCCAAAGCTAAGCGAGTCCCTATTAGCAAGACAGAACTAGTGGGTGAGCCCAGATAACTCTCCCATCAAGCAGACAAGAGACAAGTGAGGCCAAAGCAGGAGGGGATGGAAGAGTTAACCGTGCCCCTAGGCAGGAACCATTGAGGGGGC